GTGACACCCAAGGACATTGTTGTGTCGTTCTTCCATACTCCTCCTGTAAGGAATCCCCACCCACCCACCCACCAAATCCATCCCGAGTTTCACGGCGTCGTCGATGGGACCGAGTATCCGAGTTATTTCATGGCCGTATTCGGTGAAGTAAAACGGACAGGGACGCATTGGCTGCACGAGGTTTACGGCAGCCGGAGTAAACTAGTTCAGCTGTACTCGTTCAAGAAGGAAACTATTCCTCGGGGAAAGTGACCACAACTCCATATAAAGGATTTGTTGTTTCGTTGTTGCCATATATAAAACTAAAAGGATATTATATCGGTCGGTATTTCCAGAAACAACATTGAAAAGTGTATTTTCAGAGGCCCAGATGAAAACCGTTCACTGTGGCCACTGTTTCGCATCTGGCTATGGGAACCTCATTTAGGGCACAGCTTGACTACACTGACGTGTCTCCCCAAATATACAGTACACCGATTTGCAGCTGATTCACTGAGAAGAGGCCATAAATATTTAAGGCTTCTCAAACACATTGGTGGGGGGGGGGGGTGCCTAATGGTCGGCTGGATGAATTAAATAAATGGGCTTGCATTGCCTTTGGTGTAGTCAAAAGGCCAAACATGTGAAAAGTCTACCGTCTTTAATTTTACGTGTATTGCATAAACAAAATCCATACAGTTTGACACGTAGGCTTTCGCAACTAATATTCATAATGAAGGTTGTTTTTGGATTAGATTGCGTAAATATGAATGTGTCGTTAACCCACCACCACCCGATGCAGCCAATTAGTATGGTATGTCACGTAAACGAAACGTGACAATGAGTTACTACTTCAGCCCACCGGTGTGTTGGAGAGTAAATCCACAACATTTACATTTTTTTCCAGAAATCGCCCAATGATGCTGGATGTAATTACCAGTATGAAAATGACAGCCGTCTGTTATTTTACATTGCCGAGCAACGGGCTATCCACTCGTACATTTACAAACACAACTACTTAAAGTGATGGTGATCTACATAAGGGCTCACTAGCAATCACCAGGTTAAGTCTTGGTAATGACCCGTGGTAACTGTGTATTGGCCACAATGCAGTAATCGTTGCTTTCCATGAGTACGGCATTGCATTTGAAATTTCTTTCCATTGCAGGGCAATGGGTTCTCTATTAGTCACGTGTGAAAACAATGCAGTGATTTTGTTAAGCATTTGTGATTATTACATCACGCAGTGGATAGATCATGGCTGATGATGATTCACCATTGGTAATAGGATAAAGGGAAATTAAAAACTGCCACTCATTGAATGGGTGAGAATTTAAACCAACTGCATAGCTTTGTCGTTATCCTGTGAGAATATAAATTGTGTTGAGTGGACAGCTTTTCAAGAGTAAAATAAAAAAAACATTTATAATGAAATGGTTACGAATGTTGCTTAAGAGGGCTTGGTAAACTTCATCAACGTAAATTGGGTTAGGTGAAAAAAATGTAAAAGGCAGGGGACTCGGAGGTAAAAAAAAGCTGCGGTGGTGCAGCTGGGTTCTCATCTGGGATTCAGCCACCTGTAATTAATGTGGATTCTCCAGTGGAGTGAGTTGATGATCTCAATCTGGTAACCAATAACTGCACAAAAAAAACGTGTAAAATTATATATATAAAAAAAAGATTCCCCATTGAATTTGGTACAATTCCAATTCTGAGAATTTGTTTTCCTCGATAAGCAAGTGTATGTATATATTGTTTAGTCTGTTATGCGATGAAGATTACTCTGTAACAGGGAGGGTATGAATTTTGAGAGGTCGTTTGAAGATATTTCCGAAGCCCATTCTGTGACATCGCCTTCTGTGGACCGTTCTCTCAACACGGATGATCAACGCAGCTCTATGAGCGTTCTCAGTAGATTATTTGTCTCGTGATAAGACACCGTTAACGTAACCGGGATAAAACTGGAGAAAGACAAGAAAAAAAATCTATATCAGTGGAAACATTGATTCTGTTGAACACTGAGACCGAGAAAGCAACAATCCTAGATTTTTAATTGCAATACTTTGCATGCATCTGCCACTGTCGTCTGCAAATAAATGTATTGGGAGGCCGAGAGTTTAGTATCGACGCCTGTGGTTTAGTAAGCCAAACGAAGGCTTTTAATTAAACTGGATATCGAAGACTCAGCCAGTCGGAAGTTGTTGCGTTAAGTACTACAGTAGTGTTGAAGGTTCTACCCATTGAAATTTCTCTCGAGCACACAGGCCGTGGAACTGCACTCTGGTCCATGGGCTGGAGGGGTCCAGGTTCTGGGCTATGAAGGGGCGTCGAGGGGGTGGGGGATTGGACAGAGGGCCCCATTAAATTCCTTGTACCAGGGCCAATGGAAACCACGCGATGCCACTACGTCTACCATTCGGAAGCCCTTAAGGGAAGGGAGGGCAGTGTTGACCAGCTGCTCCATTTGTAGACATAAACTATAATCATCATAATTTTCAAATGCTGTAGTGTATTGTGTGTTACGTTATGGCCAGTAACCTAACCTCACTATAGCATTGCAGCAGCATTATCATATACTCTTATGTACTATCTCGGTGGTAGAGCAAGCGGTTCGCAATCAGAAAATTGCTAGTAAAAATTCTGGTTGGGAGGTTGACTCAGGCCATCATCCATAATAGGTCGATAAAATATGTACCATTTTGTGAGGAAGTCAACAGTGATTGTCCTTTGGATAGACTTGCCCTCACCCTCTGCCCATAGGAATGTGGAATTTCCTCCACTGTCTCAGGGCTGTTAACAGGAGATTGAGTATGGCCTAAATGCTCATTTGAGCCGGACAAAATGTTGTATTGTTTTGATGAAGAGACAATGTTTATCTTTTTAATTAAAATGTGTTTGTAATAATTAACGAAAAGTAAATTGACTTGTGTAGCTCTTTTTAAAGTGGAAGCCATGCTCTTATTGTAGTGAAAATGTGTCCTTTTCCTTAGTAACGTACAGCCGAGGTGCGTGACTGCCTTAACGAGACACAAATCAGTGGGAGAGCCCAGAGTGTGTGCAGTTAATATCTGTAGCTGGCTCATCGTTGGTTGACCTTTAAGAAAGGTCGATCCGTGCGCTGACAATCGTGTAAAGGGCACATAATTAAAAGTGGAGTATTAATTACGGTACAGTGGAAGGCAATTACACCTGATTGTGTCTGGCGCGCCAGCTGTGTTTTGTCACATGGCATCAGATAGGCACGCGCTGGAGCGCAAGAGCGCGTGCCTCTCGTTAACTGTCAGAAAATGTGCAATGCGTGGCGTGCGCTTATCCATTGACAAGGACGCAGCTATCAGAGGCGTTGCTGCAACACTGCAATCGCTGGCTCAAGTTATGGCACTCATTGTCGCTGCTGAGTCGCCCTAATTTGGCTTACTCGCTCGCATTTCTCCAGCCAGTGTGCCGGTGTCGTTGCAGGCGATTCCATATTTGGTTACAGCGTCAACACAATATTTTGCTCGGCCACAATTCGTCCGACTTAAATAACACATAACACACGCGCACATGTCCTGCGCATACAATCTCAAGTATTGTCAGAGTTCCTGATACTACACGGTACAGTTCTCGTATGCAAACAGAAATGTTATCGAAGCCGCAGTCAAATATCTTAAAGGTTAAAGAGCATCTTGTATAATTTCGTTGAAACAGTATTCACACGTAATTAACAAGAGAAGCCTATTCATCATTTGATGACACTTTTGGCCATTACGTAAAAAAAATGCGGCCATAAATCATGGCAGCTCATAATTGAATTACAGAAGTCCTCATGTATCCATCAAAAAATGAAAGTATTTCTTACACAATCCATCAGCCGCACGGCCATCTGACAGTGCATCATTTCAGCAGCATTGATTCAAGACACGCAAAACTTTGGACCGGTTTCGACACACAGCCGGGCTTGTTTCAATCAATGATAGTGAACCTCCGATCATCACAGCAAGCATGGAACGTTGGGCCAACCAACAACGGGCCAACATTGGTCCCAACAGTTTCAACCACACGCTGACATTGGGAGAACGTTGATCTAACGGTGTCAACCACATGCCAACCAAACGTTGACCCATAAGGTTGGCATGTCTACTGGACATCTGTGAAAAAGTGTCATCGCTCGTTCGATTTCTTCAGGATGGATAAATATTTAGATTCTGTTTACTCGGTTACAGGGCAAGGATCTGTCCCTGTGCTGTACACGGTGGTCAGGATGTCTGATGACCCTCAATTAATTGACCCCGAACATTTTTTTTCTGCGCATACTTATTAACGTTTTAAATAAATATTTTAAAACATTACTTTTTAGAGAATGAAATGGAGGGGTCACACAGACATCTGGACGACCCCCGTACATTCGTGGTCGCGTGGATTTTACCGTCCATATTTAGAATCAACATCACACGCGTTTAGCGTATTTGGCTGCTACATTTCCACGTGATAAGCCAGACTTCGTTTGAGCCATACCATTTGCGATAACCGTGTTGCTTATGGAAAAAAAGAGCTATGTCGCTCAGTTGGACCCTCCCTTACCTGATCAAAAATAAAATATATACAGGGTGTCCCATGAATCTGGAATCACAGGGAAAACACAGCGCTGTGTTATTGGCTCGCGGTCTGGATGCAGTCTGTTAAATTCAACAGCGACCTTCCCTCTGACTACGATTCCCTACGAGTGGAATTATGTGGACTCGTTCATCCTTACTCAGAGACATCTTGGGCCTGCGGAAACAAAACAAAAACGTGAATTATTGATTTCCCCCCCCCCTCCAATTATTCCCGACTTATGGCGGGTCCACCCTTGTGCCGTAGAGTTTGGTGGCACATAAAAAAAATGCAAACGGAGGAGTCAAGCAGGGCCCCGCCGTTACAACGCTGTTGGCGGCTTGGGCGTGCGGAGTCTGGCACGCACGCCTTGCCTGCAAATAAAGCAGCACCCCCTCCTCGATCCCCAGCAAGTGGGCACGGTGATGTCATCGTTTTGCCTACGAGAGAGAGAGAGTGTGAGAGGAGGGACGGAGGAGAGGGAGCACAGTCGAGATTAGCAACCAGCGTGTGCTCGTCTCGCACTGGGTTGGTGGTGATCGGGGGCTGGGGGGGGGGATTCCTGTGGTGCGGTGGCATAGGCACGATCCTTGGCGCGTGTTAACGGTAGGAACCCATTTATATATACACACACACACGCGCGCGCGCGCCTTGTAACATCTATCTCTCGCGTTTTGTCTGTACGTAGCGCTAAGCTACATTGGAGTGGAGGGGGTGGTGAAAAAAAGTTGATTGATTCATATATCGCGGTGTGGAAGGATGCATCAAATGATATTTTTTTAAAAAATGCAGCACATGCTGCTGAGACCAGCTGATTCGTGCGTGCAGGCCGAGGTTGTTTTTAGTCTTGCGAGCTGTCAGCTGCTGCTGCTGCTACTGCATGGCCGGCGTTATGTAAAAACGTGCAGCTCCCTCCTGTTGTCGTTCCACGGTGTGTGTGGTCGTGTGTGAATGGATGGTGTCCGTGGCTCGGGAGATGACGCACGGAAGATGTGACTTTATTGTTTTAAGGTCGAGCGAGCTAATGTTGCGCCGTAGTTCAGCTGGGATGCGGCTGGGTGGTGATCGTGCGGTTGTGTGTGTGTGTGCTGGGTGGGGCAAGTCACACGACCACGAATTGTCACTAATTGTGCACGCCGGGTGTGTGTGTGTTACAAGTCGCTTGTCTAAATGTCAATTGCCACCCCCCCCCCCCAAACGATTTATTTTGAGCGTGGCTATAATCTTTTGGAAAATCAATAATATTTACAAACAGTGCCGGTACTTGATTTAACAATTGTGGCACATTTGAACGAACGAACGGCTGAGTGGGTGTAAGATGCGGCACAAACCATTTGGGCGTAATGTGATGGTATACGGGCAGATCTTTCCCTTTTAAAATATGAGACGCTCTACCGACATTGCCCCTTTGGGGAGCTATTCGCGCGCGTGTGTGTCGTATACACAAATGTCAAATAGCCGGTTTGTGAATTGTGATTCCCTTCCATAGGGACGCCGTGGTAAAGCCTCTGCCAGACTGTGGGCTGATATCGTAAAGCTGATGGACGGCGTTCGCACCGCTCGATGACTTAACCATTGCACACGCATCTGGGGTCATTATTTGACAACGTCCATCCGTGTTCTCAATTATGATTTGTGTATTAGCTGAAATAATTCTGCGCATTGCAAGGTTAATGCACGGCATTCAATTGCAGTACCGCATTTGCCGTGCTGTTGTGAAATGGCAATGCTGTTGTGCGCACAGATGAGTTATGTATGCTTCATCTCTACAAGTGTTTACGATTTTTGTAGTGGCGTGCACATACCATGGAGTATTTATAAAATATAACACTTTATTTCAGCAGAGTCTTTTGAGAACACAATATTGCTTGTTTTTTTTATTGTTTTAACAAATCGCCACATGATCATCGTACAGTATTGTACCTATATCATGAAGATAATTAAGCACAGTGAATAACACTACAACATTGCAACTGGTGTTGCATCACAATAGATTACATGAATACAAAATCAGTGGCAATGCAATTGTATGGTAAAATGTTACTTTGGGGCCAACGTTATATTTACGATATGACTATCAATAATCACCATAGGAGATGTCCAAAGAAATGTCATAAAAAAATCATAGCTATAACACCATAACTGCTTGCCCGCCTATTAATTTCCACAGGGTGATCCATTTATAGACACCCCGCCAAAAATTGAGGCATCAAAAAACTAACATGGAAATGTAAAGCCTTTACACGTATCTCACCAATCTCAAGAGTCATCACAGTAAACCTTTCTCGAGCACTCTCCACTGTAAGATATGGAGCCATCGCTTTCACAACACTATTCAATTACCTGTTGAGAAACAAGAGTAAGAGAGGGTCGTTGGAAATTGGTGAAGTGATGGATCGCCTTGGATAATTAAATTATCGGTTGGACATTGTAACAAGTAGTCTGTTTTTATCAAGGAAAACATTCAACAAATATAATTACGTGCCAAAGTAACATTTTACATCTCATTTTACATGTCAGTAGATTAGAATGCCCATCGTTAGTTGATTTAAACTACGGTATATTAAATTGTCTAAAAATTTTTGACACAAAGTTGTTTTACGTCCATAGTATCAGTCCACTCGTTATCTTTAAAATATGGTAATCATACTTCTACATATGTGCTGTATTAACAATGGAAGGGCTGTAGCTAAAAAAAACTAAACAAACCATAATTAATCCTGAATAAAACATTGAGTGCTACGTACAATCTAGATTTGACGTTTTCGTGACTGCAGAGATCCATACTCTTTGGTTCTTTCGGTAAAGTCACGTAGGTAGAAAATGAAATAAATTAGATCACGACGTTTCGATCGCAACACAAGCGACCGTCATCAGGTGGAACAGATACAGACGGTCGCTTGTGTAGCGATCGAAACGTCGTCATCTAACCAAAGAGTATGCTACTTACAGTTTTCGAGTATAAAAACAAATACAGCTCCCTTAATATGAATGTACCCTTATTTACTGATGGGCTCCTTCTGAGTCTACCTTGAAAGAGCTTTAGCATTTTACTCCTCATGTGGTTGCCTTTTTTAATTCCCTTTATTGAAATGACTCTTAATCCACCCTAGTGGTGAAGGGTACAGAGACCCTAACTTGGGAAACGAAGTGCAGTCTACTCGGTGTTTGGAAGCCCTCTGCACTGATGGCAACCGTAAGGCAGTACCTCGGTATACGACCGCTTTGGGATACGTCGAATTAGGTGTACGTCGTGTTTTGACGAGAAAAACGTCTTGGTATACGACGTCTTGCTTGGGATACGACACGCTTGCTAGAACTTGTATGGGTCGGGATGAGTCACTGCGTACCCGCGTAGACCCCGTTCACGACTGAGACAAAGCGCCGCTCCTCAGTCTGCCTGTAGATCTCGTTCAGTACACACAACCCTTGTTATAACTCTCTGTGAATTTTCACACGCATTTATTTTAATGTATGTATGCATTTTAGTAATAAGTAGTGTCTACATTGTTATACAACCCCATTAATGTATACTATGCCATATAAAATATAATTTCTTATACTCGTGAACGGATTATTTCCTTATGGGAAAAATTCGTTTGGTATTCGTCATTTTCGGTATAAGTCCTCCTACCTTCTGGAACGAATTAACGATGTATACCGAGGTACCACTGTGTTTTGAGTTGAATCTGTTTTTTTTCAGATTTGATAAGTGACAGAGAAACTGTAACTGTTTAGGACTCTGTGATATCACCTAACGTACAACCAGGCCTTCTGGCAGATCCACACAAGAGCAGCTGCATCTCTAGTAAGTGTTACCCGTAATGATTTAAAAAGCAAGCTGGTAAATTGTGCCTTGAAAAGTGCACTGTTGGAAGATGTATTTTTGGCAAGTGTTATCGAATGTGTTCCTAAAGATGATGCTTTCTCAGAATTATTTATCTTGCGTTGCCATTGACATTTAATATTTAAAGTTCATGCAACAGTCTTGCTTTGTAAATAGCAATGAATCGTAACGAAGATGGCACTCTCTCAAACCCTAGGTATTTGATGGCAACAGCCCATTTAACCGCATTTATGTATTTCTGAACTCGGAGCACTGGTAAGTTAATGAGACCTTTATTGAGAGTGGCCAATCCAGTAAATGTAGCATATAATATCTGGGAGATTTGAGAAACTCCCCGTGTAGGATCTTCCTGGAAAAAAAAGCTTTAACACTGCATGGCTATTAACGAGTAAAGATTCAAAATAATTCATTTCACATGCACAATATTGGGTAACTAAGCATAAAAAATGTTGTTCTATGAACCTAACATTAATGCAATCACGGGGCCTCGTCTGCTTAGGCATGCCTTAAAAAAAAAGATAATATTCGTCTTGTTATGGCCTAGTTATAAATACTGTAAAGGCCTTAGTATTCCAAAAGAACTCCTGTCATCCTCCCAGAGGTGTTGCAGTGACATCACCTTGACAGTTCGACCCAATTGATGATATCACATCAAAATCATGAGAAATGTAAAAAAAAAACAACTATGGATAGCAAATGATCTAATGCACCTACAAATCGCAGCATGAATCGTTAAACTGCTTTCGCTGTTCGTTATTAACGTTACAACATTCAGCTCGCTAAAATGTTTCCATTCCAATCGGCTTCAGCTCGGCGTCCTTCTTTATAATTGACGTGTTGCTCCTGTGTGTTGAGGTGGCTACGCAACCTACGACTTGGTGGGGATCCGCTTGGTGGGATGGGAGAATGCAGCCGTGGTAGTAAATAAAGGTAGATTTCAAACAGTGGCATCGTATGCTTGCAAAGGTGATCAGAGAAGTGCACACACTGTCGGAAACATGTATTTATGTTCAGGAGATTGTATAAATTTCACGGAGATCTCTGCAGTCTGCAGTTTTGAAAGTTGAAATTCTATCATTTCAGTACTGTGCAGCGGGGTTTTTTTTAACATGGTTAGCATAGTTAATCTCAGAGACTGCATTTCTCGTTATTTAATTTTGAATACAGCTACATAATGTGAATTGAAATACTGTGTTATGCATCGAAACCTTAAAAAAAACAGATTCATGAAAAACATACTTACATTTTCAATGGTTGTAATGTAATGATGGGGTGTTGAATTCCGGTTATATTGTGATGTTGAGAAGTTGAAAACCTGTTGGAGTCATAATTGAAATTATGGATCTCTTTAAGGCTTTGGTATCAGGATATACAGTAGTTGGAATGCAGTAAGCTGTGCTGGCTGATGGGGAGAAGTGAGTGGGAAGTGAGGGAGAGGCTGGAGAGAAAAAAAAACGAATACAGGCTGGGATGGATGGGGAAGTCGGTGGCTATACATCTAAAGCATGAACCTGTACTCTTGATTGAATGTGGGAGGCTCACACTTGCATCCTTGTGCAAACATCTCACGCTAATTCTGCCATGAACGTGGTTATTAAGGTTGGCACTCGATGGCCACGGTTGGATGCTCCTCATTGGAATATCCTTGTCTGCAAGAGCAACATTTTCTGTTTCATCTTGGAGCTTTTTAAAAATTAACGACAGAACGGACGCTACATTAGCATAATTACCGTGTCTAAAAATTAAAGGGGCCATTGAA